GGTGTTAGGGAGTTAATTTTAGTGTAAGGTGTCAGGAAGGGGTCCAGTTTCTGTTTTCTGCACATGGCTAGCCGGTTTTCCCAACACCATTTATTAAACAGGGAATCCTTCCCCCATTGCTTGTTTTTGTCAGGTTTATCAAAGATCAGATGGTTGTGGTTGTGTGGTATTGCCTCTGAGACCTCTGTTCTGTTCCATTGGTCTATATCTCTGTTTTGGTACCAGTATCATGCTGTTTTGATTACTGTAGCCTCATAGTATAGTTTGAAGTCAGGTAACATGATGTCTCCCACTCTGTTCTTTTTGCTTAGGATTGTCTTGGCTATATGGGCTCTCTTTTTGCTTTCATGTAAAGTTTAAGGTGGGTTTTTCCAGTTCTGTGAAGAGGGTCATAGGTAGCGTGATGAGGTTAGCATTGAATCTATAAATTACTTTGCCCTTGCCCACTTTATAATGGGATTTTTTTTTTTTTTTTTTTTTGGTAAATTTGTTTAAATCCTTTAGAGATGCTGGATATTAAACCTTTGTCAGATGCATGGTTTGCATATACTTTCTCCCATCCTCTAAGTTGTCTGTTTACTCTGTTAATAGTTTATTTTGCTGTGCAGAAGCTCTTAAGTTTAATTAGATCCAATTTGTCAATTTTTGCTTTTGTTGTGATTGCTTTTGGTGTCTTCCTCATGAAATCCTCTCCAGTTCTTATGGTATTGCCTAGGTTGTCTTTTAGCATTTTTATAGTTTGGCGTTTTACATTTAAGTCTTTAATCCATCTTGAGCTGATTTTTGTATATGGTATAAAAAAGGGGTCCAGTTTCATCTTCTGCATATGGCTAGTCAATTATCTCAGCAACATCTATTAAATAGTCAGTCCTTTCCCAATTGGTTGTTTTTGTCAGCTTTGTCGAAGATCGGATGGCTATAGGTGTGCAACCTGATTTCTAGGCTCTCTATTCTGTTGCATTTGTCTATGTGTCTATTTTTGTACTAGTACTGTGTTTGGATTGCTGTAGCCCTGTAACATGGAGGTCAGGTAAAATAATACCTCCAGCTTTTTTCTTTTGGCTTAGGATTGCCTTGGCTATTCAAACTCTTTTTTGATTCCGTATGAATTTTAAAATAGTTTTTTTTCTAGTTTTGTGAAAAATATCATTGGTAGTTTGATAGGAATGGGATCAAATCTGTAAACTGCTTTGGGCAGTATGGCTATTTTAACAATATTGATTGTTTCTATCCAGGAGCATGGAATGTTTTTCGATTTGCTTGTGTCATCTCTGATATATTTGAGCAGCATTTTGTAATTCTCATTATAGATATCTTTCACCTCCTCGGTTAGCTGTATTCCTAGGTATTTTATTCTCTTTGTGGAAATTATGAATGGGTTTGCATTCCTGATTTGGTTCTTGGCTTGGCTGTTGTTGGTGTATAGGAATGCTAGTGATTTTTGTACATGGATTTTGTATTCTGAAACTTTGCTGAGGTTGCTTATCAGCTGAAGGATCTTTTGGGCTGTAACTAGATATAGAATCATGTTGTCTGCCAACAGGGATAGTTTGACTTTTTCTTTTCCTGTTTGGATGTCCTTTATTTCCTTTTCTTGCCTGATTTCTCTGTTTAGAACTTCCAGTACTATGTTGAATGGAAGTGGTGAGAGAGGGCATCTTTGCTTTGTGCTAGCTTTCAAGGGGAATGCTTCTAGCTTTTACCCATTCAGTGTTATGCTGGCTGTTGGTTTGTTATAGATAGCTCTTATTATTTTAGGTATGTTTCTTCAATACCTCGTTTATTCATAGTTTTTAACATGAAGGGATGTTGAATTTTATCAAAACCCTTTTCTGCATCTATTGAGATCATGCGATTTTTCTCTTTCATACTGTTTATGTGATGCATCACATTTATTGATTTGCATATGTTGAACTAGCCTTGTATGCCAGGAATAAAGCCTGGTTGATTGTGGTGGATTCGTTTTGTGATGTGCCGCTGGATTCAGTTTGCAGGTTTTTTGGTGAGGATTTTTACATCGATGTTTTTCAAGGATATTGGCCTGAAGTTTTCATTTATTTTTGTGTCTTTGCCAGGTTTTGGTATCAGGGTTATGCTGGTCTCAAATAATAAGTTGGGGAGGAGTCCTTCCTCTTCAGCTTTTTGGAGTAGTTTCAGTAGGAATGGTACCAGCTCTTCTTTTTATATTTAGTAGAATTTGGCTGTGAATCCATCCACTCCTGGGCATTTTTTTGGTTGGTAGACTATTTATTACTGATTCAATTTTGGAGGCCATTATTGGTCTGCTCAGGGAATCAATTTCTTCCTGGTTCAGTCTTGGTAGGGTGTGTGCATCTAGGAATTCATTTATCTCTTTTAGGTTTTCTAGTTTGAGGGTGCATAAAGGTGTTCATAGTAGTCTCTAATGGTTTTGTTGCTGTAGATCAGTGTTAACATCCCCTCTGTGATTTATAATTTTGTATCTTTAGATCCTCTCTCTTTTATTTTTCATTAGTCTAGCTATTGACCTATCTTATTAATTTTTTCAAAAAACCAACTCCTGATGATAATTTCTTTTATCAAGATCTTTAATTGAACCACATATAAAGTCTACTTTATCACATAAAATAACATATTCGGAGATTCTGGGGATGAGAATAAAATTATTTGTGGGGGGCATTATCTGCATTATGTGTTATACTGTAACAGGTGAGTGCCATTTTAACCCATTTATGCCTGAGGTTGCAATTTTTTGAACTTTTGCAATTAGATCTTGGTGATGACCCTGAGCAATAGGATATAAATAACTCCCACATGCTTAGCATTTCAATAATGGAACACTAGCCATAAACAGGAGAGCTCAGAATGAAGAAAAATTCATAGTTTATTTTATTATAGCATTCCCTTGGATTGGATGATGTAGGAGACCTATTTCCTCAAATAACTCCCAATGACTATTATTTATTTATTTTTCAAATAGATTTTTAATTTTTTTATGACAGTAACATCTTCCTCATTATTAAGTTCATAAAAGTATAAAATAGAAAATGGATAAAAAGTAAATAAAACTATTCAAAACTATTAAAAATGATATTCAATTTCCATATGTGATCACTGATAATATTTTTATATGTATTATTATCGTCATTTTATCCATGGCAATATAATTTGATATTTGGTATAATTTTGATTATGTAGTTTCATGTACTTTTAAAATTTGACTATGCTTTGATCATTACTCTATATTGTTAAATATATATTTAAAAAGCCAATTATAATTTAAAATAATTGTGGAGTATTTCAATGCATGAGTATTCATAATTTATTTCTTTTATTAAAATTTTATCAGAAAATCTTTGTGGGCATATTTAATACTGTTAAATGCACTTAAAAACTGGACAAAAATTTTTATAAAGAAAATGAATATTTTAAAGCACATAATAATGCTGTAAATTGTCATCTGGAAGCATTATATGTGTTTATGTATCTTCCATGGTTTATGAGAATGCCTATTTCCATATGTTCTTACTAATATTGAATGATACTGTGCTCTTAAAAATATTTTCCAATTAAATCTATAAAAATTGGCAAAAAGAAGTAAAAGTCATCCAAATTGGAAAAGAGGAAGTCAGATTATCCTTGTTCACTGATGACGTGATTTTAAACCTAGAAAACCCTAAAGACTCCTCTAAAAGATTCCTAGACTTGATAAGTGACTTCAGTAAAGTTTCAGGATACAAAAATCAATGCACAAAAATCAGTAGCATCTCTATACACCAATAACATTCAAGCTGAGCATCAAATTAAGAATTCAGTCACATTTATAATAGGCACAAAATTAAAATACATAGGAATACATTTAACCAAGGACATAAGAAAACTCTACAAGGAGAACTCCAAAACACTGATTAAAAAAAAAAAAAAAACAGATGACACAGAAACAAATGAAAGAACATTCAATGATCATGTATTAGAAGAATCAATATTGTTATAAAGACTATACTGCCCAAAGCAATGTATAAACTCAATGCAATTTATATCAAATTACCAATGGAACAGAATAGAGAATAGAAATAAAGCCACATAGCTATAACCAACTGATCTTTGGCAAGTTGACAAAAATATACAAGGAGAAAGGACACCCTGTTCAATAAATAGTGCTGAGAAAATTGGATAGTCATATGCAGAAGAATAAAATTGGATCACTATCTCTTACCATATACAAAAACTAACTCAAGATGGATAAAATACTTAAATATAAGACCTGAAACTATAAAAATTCTAGAAGAAAACATAGGGAAAACTCTTCAGTACATTGGCCTATGCACAGAATAATTGACTAAGACCTTAAAAGCAAATACAAAAACCTTGAAAATAGACAAATGGGATTTACTTAAACTAAAAAGCTTCTGCACAGCAAAAGAAATGATCAATAAACAGCCAACTTACACAATGGGAGAAAATATTTGCAAACTATGCTTCTGACAAGAGACTAAATATTCAGAATCTACAACAAACTCAAACAACTCAACAAGAAAAAAGAAATAACCTCATTAAAAAGTGGGCAAAGGACATGAACAGAAAACCCTCAACAGACAGCAAATATGAAAAAATACCGAACATCATTTATTATCAGAGAAATGCAAACTAAAACCACAGTGAGAAACCATCTTACACCAGTCACAATGGCTACTACTAAAAATTAAAGAAAAAAAAATCCCCAACAGATGTTGATAAGGATGTAGAGAAAAGAGAAAGCTTATACACTGTTGGTGGGAATATAAATTAGCACAATCACCATGGAAAACAGTATGGAAATTTCTCAAAGAACTAAAAATAAAATTCCCTTCTGATCCAGCAATCCCACTACAGGGCATATATGAAAATGGAAAGATAGCAAAAAGATATTGGCACTTGTATGTTTATTGCAGCACTGTTCATAATAGTAAAGATACGGAATCAACCTAAATGTCCATCACTGGAGGACTGGATAAAGAAAATGTGGTATCGGCAGAAGTCCTTCTTGTCCTGGTTGCTGTTCCCATCTGAGTACCAGCTCCCCATTGCCCTGAGGGTGGGCAGGCCTGCAACGGAGGGAAAAAGGAAGAGGAGAAGGAAATTGTCCCGGATCCCTGCAGTGGGTCCAAGCCTCTCCTGGGTGGCCAGTCTTTCCGTAGGTTGCGGCACAATGCCAGGCAAGAGAAACGGAAAGAAATTAATCCCAATCGGTCAAGGTCGATTTGAGGGTCCGCTGTAGCTGGTGGCTCCGCTTGAAGTGAGGGAGGAAGTTTCCTCTGATCAGTAGAGATTGGAAAGTTTGTTGGGAGTGGCACACCACCAGGGGAAAGAAGAAGGGGCGAACTGCTTGTCTTGAGGAGGTCAAACTCCAGAATCAGCTGTTGTGGCTTTGAAGTGGCTGAAGATGGTCACCCTCCACAGGCTTGTGCCCAGTCCCACAGCCTTCCTCCCCTAGCCTGAGGGACTACTGTATTCCTTGGTCCCTGCTATTGTCAGGGACGATTGCATGGGCTATGCCAGGAAAGTAGGCTGGGTGACTGCAGGCCTGGTGATTGGGGCTGGCGTCTGCTATTGCATTTAGAGACTGACTACGGGAAGAAAACAGAACAAGGGAAAAATGGCTGAGGGTGGGTCTGGGCATGTGGATGATGCTGGGGACTGTTCTGGGGCCAGGTATAATGATTGGTCTGATGATGATGATGACAGCAATGAGAGCAAGAGTATAGTATGGTACCCACCTTGGGGCTGGATTGGGACTGAAGCTGGAACCAGAGCTAGGGCCAGGGCAAGGGCCAGGGCTACCCGGGCGCATCGGGCTGTACAGAAACGGGCTTCCCCTAATTCAGATGATACCATTTTGTCCCCTCAAGAGCTACAAAAGGTTCTTTGCTTGGTTGAGATGTCTGAAAAGCCTTGTATTCTTGAAGCAGCTTTAATTGTTCTGGGTAACAATGCTGCTTATACATTTAACAGAGATATTATTTGTGACCTGGGTGGTCTCTCAGTTGTTGCAAAGCTTCTCAATACTCGAGATCCCATAGTTAAAGAAAAGGCTTTGATTATCCTCAATAACTTGAGTGTGAATGCTGAAAATCAACACATGCTTAAGGTATACATGAATCAAGTATGTGACAACACAATCACTTCTCACTTGAACTCATCTGTGCAGCTGGCTGGACTAAGATTGCTTACAAATATGACTGTTACTAACGAGTATCAGCACATGCTTGCTAATTCCATTTCTGACTTTTTTCATTTATTTTCAGCGGGAAATGAAGAAACCAAACTTCAGGTTCTGAAACTCCTTTTGAATTTGGTTGAAAATCCAGCTATGACTAGGGGACTGCTCAGGGCCCAAGTACCATCTTCACTGGGCTCCCTCTTTAATAAAAAGGAGGACAAAGAAGTTATTCTTAAACTTCTGGTCATATTTGAGAACATAAATGATAATTTCAAATGGGAAGAAAATGAACCTACTCAGAATCAATTCGGTGAAGGTTCACTTCTTTTCTTTTTAAAAGAATTTAAAGTATGTGCTGATAGGTTCTGGGAATAGAAAGCCACCATGATTTTTTGGTGAAAGTAAAAGTTGGAAAATTCATGGCCAAACTGGCTGAACATATGTTCCCAAACAACCAGGAATAACTCCTTTATTGTGTAGTTTAGAAGCAACACACATTGTAAACTATTCCTTCTCTCCACCTTTTTTATATGGTAAAAGAATCCTTTCACCTGCCAGTTTTGAATAATGAATATCATATTGTATCATCAATGCTGATATTTAACCGAGTTGGTCTTTAGATTTAAGATGGATGAATGAATGTCTCTACTGTTCTGAAAACATGGTTTGTTGCTTTTTATCTCGCTGCCTAGATTGAAATATTTTGCTCTTTCTTCTGCATAAGTGACAGTGAACCAATTCATCATAACTAAGCTCCCTTCTGTCATTTTCATTGATTTAATTTGTATATCATAAATAAAGTTGTGTGTTAATGATGGAAAGGAAAAAAAAAAGAAGAAAGAAAGAAACCATCCCTGTTCTTCATTACCTAGTTGGAGAGATAAGAAACATACAAACCAAAAGATAACAGACTATCTGGAGCTTATACTGATGTTCCCTCTGAGAGCCCAGAGGAGGCAAAAGTTTCTGTGGAATGTGCTAGTCAGCTAAAGCTTCACAGAGGAGGTGGCAATTGAAAATGAGTCCTGAATGGAGTAGGGTGTTCCGTGAGGCATTAGGGCATTCCATGAGGCAAGATGAGAGGGGAATGGTGTGAGAAAGGCATGGAGGTAGGAGCCCTCCTCCTAAAACAGTCAGGACATCATTCGGCGTAGATTGGAGAGTGGGAGTAAATAATTTTGGAAAGCTGAGTGAAGCCAGTTATGGAGAGCTGTTTGAATATTTTCCCATTGAACATCCAGAGCCACTAAATCTTTTCTACTAGAAAATAATTGGGGTCCATATGAAAGTCTCTATCTGTTACTGTGCAGTGGCAGTGAGGGTGTGGCAAAATGGAGCCTTTCACACTGCAGGGGCGGCCATTTGGTAATACGGATCATAAGCCTTAAAATATGTAAACCCTTTGTCCTAAGGAAGTAATTGAATAATTGCTCAAAGATTGTATGTACAAGGCTGTTCATCCCAGCACTGTCTCAGCTCGTAAAAATTGGAAACAATTTAATTATCTAGCACACTGGATTGGTTACAAAGTAAGGAGTGTTCACACAGTAGGATATTATATGTATGCTGAATCTATATTGCCACGAAAAGCTATTCATTATGCATTATGAAGCGAGAAAGAAAAAAAGGCTACATAGAAGTATTCGAAGTAGAATTCCATTTTTTTGAGACTAACAAAACATATGTTTAAAAGGACATGAAAAACTAGAGTTATAGATATCCAGATAGAAACAGTAGTTATCATAGGGTAGAAGGTTAATGAGTGATCTTTACTTTTTTACTTTAAATTCATCTATGTGTTCTTATTTATCCAAAATGGGTATTGATTTTTAGGAAGTTTTTGAAAAAGAAAAGTGTTGGGAAGGAAGCAAGTGATTGATTGGAACACATACTGAATGGAAGAAATATTTAGATTAAAAATGAGGTAGGTTGAAGTTTCTTCTCTAAATGATAGATAAATGGTGAAGATGAGGCTTATTGTGAGGATTAAATGAGATAATATATGCAAAGTACTTAATGTTCTGGCACCTAGTAGTTCATTAAGAAAATTGAGCACCCTTAATTACCTAGAAAGCAGGGTTGGTAGTTTTTTGATTGACTTTTGCTTTGCTGGGGCATTCTGCCACGTTTTAGTGTCATTTAATAAATAATAGTAACAATAAAAGTTAACATTTATTAAGTGAAAAAAAAGAAGAAAATGTGGTATCTATATACCATGGAATGCTACTCAACCATAAAAAAAGAATAAAATCATGGCTTTTGAAGCAACATAGGTGGAGCTGGAAACCATTATCCTAAGTGAAATAACTCAGAAACAGAAAATCAGATACCACTTATAAGTGGGAGCTAAACAATGGATGCACATGAACATGGACATATAGAGGGAAATAATAAACACTAGAGGCTCTATGAAGGATGAGGGTCAGAAGAGGGTGAGAGCTGAAAAATTACCTATAGGATACAATGTTCAGTATTCATGTGATGAGTACACTAGAATCCCAAATTCCACCATATACAATATAACAATGTTCACTGTTCACATGAGTACGCTAGAAGCCCAAACTCTACCATACACACTATATCCATATAGCAAACCTGCACATGTACCTCCTGAATCTATATATTTTTTAAAACATAATTTGCATAATTTCAGAGTATTCTATTGTATGAATATGCATACTTTATTTCTTATATTAATGTCTTATTGATTGACTGGTAGAGACAGGATCTCACTATCTTCCCCAAGCTGGTCTCAAACTCTTGGCCTCAAGAAGTGCTCCTGCTTCTGCCTCTGAAAGTGTTGGGATTACCAGCATGAACTACCATGCCCAACCCTGAAATTTTATCTATTAAAAAAATTTGTGGGCATCTTTAATACTGTTAAATGAATTTAAAAACTGGACAATTTTTTTTTAAAAAAAGGGGTAAATATTGTAAAGCACATATTAATAGTATAAATTGTCATCTGGAAGCATTGCATGTGTTCATGCTTCTTCCATGGTTTATGAGAATGCCTGATTCCACATATTCTCATGTGTATTGAATGATGTCATGCTCTTAAAAATCTTTTCCAATTAGATATTTAAAAACTGTCTTCTCAATGATGAAGTACATTTTTTCCATGGGTCTTAGCCATCTTTATTTCTTCTCTGTTGAATTGTCTACTTGGCATGGCAAAACATTTGAAGTTTTACCATGTTAAAAGTATACTTTCATGGTTTCTGTTTTTATCACTACTTGGAAAAAGTTATCTTAATATCAGATAAATCTTGATCTATATTTTCATTCAGTTCATTCATGATTTTACTTTTTACATTCAACTTATTAATTTATTTCAAATTTGTTTTTCTATAATGTCCAAGGTGAGATCTAATTTTATTTTATTTTCTGAAAGGTAAACTAATTGTTCTAGAAATAACTTCTGAATTGTCTATCTGTATCAGTTAGGAATTTCTTTAGCATCATCAAGCTGAAAATGATGTACCTTTTCAGTAAAATGATAATCTCTAGCTTTTAATCAGAGTGTATGGACCATTTATATTTGTAATTATTAATATGGTTGAATATAAATCTACCTTTATTTGTTTGCTATTTGTTGTGCTATTTATATTCTTAAAATCCTTCTTCATTTTATATCGTTTTAGTATTTTATTTCAACTATTGATTTATTTGCTATTCTTTTTGCAATTTTTCTTAGTGATTGCTCTAGTGTTAAGAATATACATTTTAAAACATTAGAGCCAACTATGAAATAATGTTATACTACTTCACATGAAATGTAAGACTCTTACAGCAGCAGCATTTTAGTATTTTTTTCCCTATTCTTTGGGCTTTCACTGTCATATATTTTATTTCCGCATATGTCCCAAGCTTCACAATGCATTATTGTTATTTTGCTTTAAGCATAAAACCAATTAACAAATGAGCAAATATATTTTTATTTACTTACATATTTACCTCCTCCAGCACTCCCTTTCTGTAGATCTGAATTTTGATATGTTATCATTTTCCTTCTACTTGTAGAACTTTTTTTTAACATTTGTTGTAGTGCAGGTGTGCTTCTCACAAATCCTTTAAACTTTTGTTTCTTTAAAAGCTCTTATTTGAGGAGTGACCTACCAAACATGGCAAAGTAGGAAGCTCCTGACTCTCCCTCCATCCATGGGTGGACCATAACATGAAACAATTACCTTCAAGAGAAGGTGAGAGACCAGTTAAGAAACATACCCACCAGGCAACTGAGAAAACATTCACATCAAGTAGGTAGGAAAAGCTGAGGCATATTGCAACATGGACCTCACCCTGGGCACTGTACATAAAATTGAGAAAGGAATCCCCAACATTCAATTTCTCCCTGTGAAGAGGAGGGCCTTTACCTCACATGTAGAACTGTAACCTTAAGTTTTGTCATCGTTTGAGTCTTAATTTACCAACTATGAGATTAGAGAGGATTAGACATATGCATGACCCTCTAGACTGTACCAAAAAAAAAAAAATCAGTGGTTATATACAAGCATACGAATACCTCCAGAGACCATCCACCTGGGAGCAGTGCAGATAAGAGGCTTAACACCCACACTACACCTCTCTGCTTTCCTCCTGAAGGAATTTATAAAATACCCCTCCAGCATCTCCCTGGAGGCTTGGCTTCTAAGTAACTTGCATCAAAGAGATAACAAGACAGTCAATTATTACCCTGCCACCAGCCTGGGAACAGTTTGTGCCAAGCACTGTAACTCTTATGACATCCATGTAAGGGATTGCATCCTAAATCTCCTAGCTCTGAGACCAGAAGGGACTGGTATATGCATGTCTCTCTAGGCCACAGGAAAAAAGTGATGACTTTATACACGTACACAAACTCTTTATAGGACCTCCATCCCACTGGGATAAATGATAGATTGTTCTTTAAAAACACACACTTTCTCTCCAGAAGGTGTTTACAAAACACCCCTCCAGCAGCTACCTGGTGGACTGAATTCGAACTAACTTACAATCCAGCCTGGGAGGAATTCACACTCACACCTAGAGTTCCAACTTTTATAACATCTACCTAAGGAGCTGCATGTTAAGTCTCTACTAGCTCTGAGGGCAGAAGGGATTGGCATGTATTTCTAGACTACAGGCATGCAGTGCCATGCCTGGCTAGTTTTGTTTGTATTTTTTGTAGAGACAGGGTTTTGTCATGTTGCCTAGCCAGGTCTTGAACTCCTGAGCTCCGGTGGTCCACCTGCCTCAGCCTCCCAAAGTGCTGGGATTACAGGTGTGAGCTACTATACTAACCACCAGTGTTTTCAAATAGGTATGCAAGCACTTTCAGGGACTTTACCCCTCTGGAGAAGTGCAGAGAAGAGACCTGAAAAAAATGCAACTTCCTGTTTCTCTCCAGAAGGGGTTTGGGACACACAATTGAGAGCCCCAATTTTTAAAACTACCTCTTAAAGGACTCCTTCCTAAACTAGTAGCTCTGGGAACAGAAGGAACTAGGCATATGTGAGTCTCTTGATCCCAGAACAAAGAGGTGGTTTTAAACAGGCATCCAAACACTTCTATGGACTACACCTCCCTTGAAACAGTGCAGAAAAGGGGCAGAAGTGTGCGGCTCTCACTTTCTGTTCAGAAGGGGTGGATGACACACAGTCCCAGTAGCTACTTGATGGCCTGATGTCTAATGAATTTGCAACAAAGAACTAATGGGACCAAAAAACAGTAGCCCCTTGGTAGTCAGAGCCATAGCTCTGCACCTCATAGGATCTCTCCCTGGCTCACCCCAGAGATAAATCCAGTTCTATTCATTTTTTTTTTCTGTAAAAAGTTTGTCCATGTACTGAGCATCATACCTTCCATAGCTCCCACCTAAGGGACTGTCTTCTTAACAGCCTAGCTCTGGAAGTTGAGGGAGCTTTGCAATCCCAAGTGACCAAAGACCACAGAAAACAAACAAGTGGACATATAACAAGCCCACCACCAGAATCTATTACCCTGGAATCAGAAGACATAGCCTGAACTTGACTGTAGTTGGCTGTCCATATCTGTGGGTTCTGTATCCACAGATTCAACCAACTACAAATAAAAATAATTTTAAAAAATGGCTGCATCTCTACTGAACATGTGCAGATGTTTTTCTTGTCATTGTCTTCTAAACATCACAATATAAAAACGATTTACACAGCATTTACATTACATTAGGTATTATAAGTAATCTAGAGATGATTTAAAGGAAACAGTAGGATTTGCATAGATTAAATGCAAATACTATGTCATTTTATATAAGAGACTTGAGGACCTGTAGATTTTGGTATTGGTGAGGCATCCTGGAACCAGGATGGATCATGCCTGTAATCCCAGCACTTTGGGAGGCCAAGGTGGGAAGATTGCTTGAGCCAAGGAGTTTTAGACCAGCCTGAGCAACATAGTAAGATATCCATCACTACAAAAAATTAAAAAAAAAACTTAGCTGGGCATGGTGGCATGTGCCTGTAGGGCCAGCTACTAGGGAGACTGAGGTAGAAAGATTATTTGAGCTAGGAGTTTGAAGCAGCAGGGAGCCATGATTGCACCACTGCACCTCAGCTTGGTTGACAGAGTAAGACCATGTGTTGGAAAAAACAAGCAAACAACAAAACAACAGAAAGCAATCAAAGCTACGATATTGCTAAAGAATACATGTTATAAAAAGATGTAAAGTGTGATATCAAAAAAACACAAAATATGGAAAGAGGAATAATAAAAGTAGAGAGTTTGTATTCAATCAAAATTATCATCAGCTAAAATTAATGTTATAAAATGTTTTATGTAAGCTTCACAGTAACCACAAAGCCTACAATAAATACACGAAAGATAAAGAGGAAAGAACCAAAGCATACCACTACAGAAAACCATCAAACCACAAAGGAAGTAGATAGCAGAGGAGGAAAGGAACAAAAACTCTACAAAACAACTAGAAAATAAATAACAAAATGGTGGGAGTGTGCCCATAACTATCAACAATACCTTGAATGTAAATGGATTAAATTCTTCAATTGAAAAATAGAGAGTAGCTGAATGGATTAAAAAAAAAAAAAAGACCTAACTATATGTTGCCTACAAGAGACTCACCTTATCTGTAAAGACACACATAGGCTAAAAATGAAGGAATGGAAAAATATATTCCATACAAGTGGAAACCAAAAGAGAGCAGGCGTAGCTGCACTATTATGAGATAAAATAGGGTTTAAGCAAAAAACTGTAAAAAGAGCAAAGGAGGTCATTACATAATGTTAAAGGCATCAGCATGGTGAGAGGATATAAAATTTTATATAAACACTAAACACTGGATTCCCAAATGTAAAAGGCAAATATTAAGATCTAAAGAGAAAGATGGATTGAAGTACAATAAGAGTAGGTGACTTTAACATCTCACTTTCAGTAATGGACTGCCAATTGATTTTTGTCAAATGCACAAATAATATCAAGGAAATGACAGTCTCTTCAATAAATGTTGCTGGGAACACTGGATATCAATATTCAGAACAATGAAGCTAGACCCCTCTCTCTCACCATATAAAATATTAATTCAAAATTGATTAAAAATGTAAATGTAAGATTCAAAACTATAAAACCAGTAGATGAAAACCTAGAAAAAATGCTTTTGGGCACTGGTCTTGGCAAAGATTTTACAGCCAAGACTTCAAAATTATAGGTAACAAAGGCAAAAATAGACAAATGAGATTGTATCAAACTACAAACTTCTGCACAGCAAAAGAAACAATCCCCAGAGTGAAGAGATAAACTACAGAATGGGAGAAAATATTTGCAAACTATCCATCTGACAAGCAACTAATATCCAGAATGTATAAAAAACTCAACACCAAAATCAAAATACAACAAAAATAAAATAATTCAATTGAAAATACTCAAATGATCTGAATAGACATTTCTAAAAAAAAAGCATATAATATAGGTATACAAAAAATAATTCTCAATATCACTAATCATCAGGGCAATGCAAATCAAAACTGTAATGACTATCATTTCACCCCAGTTAAAATGGCTGTCAAAAAGACAAAAAAAAAAAAAAAAAAAAACCCAAAACCAAAAAACAAAATACCCTGAAAAACAAACGCTGGTGAGGATGTAGAGAATAGGGTACTCTTATACACTGTTGGTGGGAGTGTGTATTAATATAGCCATTTTGTAAAACAATATGGAATTTCTTCAAAAGCTAAAAATAGAAATACCATATGATCCAGCAATCCTGTTACTGGGTAATGATCCAAAGGAAATGATATCTATATGTTAAAGAAATATCTTCACTCCCATGTTTATTGCAGCACTATTCACAATAACCAAAATTTGGATCAGTCTAAATGTCCATTGATAGATTAATGGATAAATAAAATGTGGTGTATATACACAATGGACTACTATTCATCTTTAAAAAAATAAAATTCTGTCATTTGAGGCAACATGGATGAATCTGCAGGACATTATATTAAGTGAAATAAGGCAGGCACAAAAAGACAAATACTGCGAGCTATCAATTAAATACGGGAGCTAAACAGTTGATCTCATAGAAGTAGAGAGTAGAATAGTGGTAACTAGAGGCTGGGAAGGGTAGGATGAGTGGGCATAGGAAGAGATTAGTTAATAGGTACAAAATTACAATTAGAAAAGATAAATTCTAGGGTTCTATAATCTATAGTGACTATAGTTTACAGTAACTTATTGTATATTTTCACAATGGCTAGAAAAGAAGATTTTGAATGTTTCTTACAGAAAGAAATGATAAATATTTATGATGCTAGGTATGACAATTACCCTGATTTGAACATTATATATCGTATACATGTATTGAAAAGATCACTTGTATCCTTAATTATTTATGATTTTTATATATCAATAAAATTTTCTAAAAATATTATTTTGCCTTTATTTTGGAAGAATATTGTTACTAGATATAGAATTCTAGGTTGACTCTTTTGTTTTGTTTTTCCCATTTGGCATTTAAACATGCCATTCCATTGTCTCTTAGCTTGCAGAATTTATAATAATACATCTGAGATAATTTTATTGTTCCTTTGTCTGAATGTTGTGCATATCTATTTTGGTTCTTTTAAGGTTTTTTTCTCTGTCCTTGGATTTTTAGCACCTTAATTATGCTGTACTTTGGTTTTATGATGTGACTGTGATATACTTTTTTTTTTGACATGTGTGTATATTTTGTTTCAGATTCATTGTGATATGGACAGGAGCCAGGGAAATACTGGGTAGAAGAGGGTGGTTCCCTGGAAAAGGACTCTTCCTCATGCCCATATGAGATCTGCAGCCCTAAATGAGGACAGACATTCCTGTTTTCATGTCCCAAAGTTGCCTTTTGGCCTGCCACGTCTTTTTATTCTGTACCAATGTAAACCCCAAACCCTTGGCTCCAGGCAGACACAAACAGAAGAGCAGAAGAATGACAGAATGCAGAGAGAAGAGAAGGAGCATCTGAACGCTGAAAGGAGTTTGGCTAGGGATGGTCAAAGGGGAGATTGGCCACTGGGTGGCCAAACTCCAGAGGAAGACTGTCTTCCCACTCTCTCCCCCGTGAAGCTCCCCATCCATCCTGCATAGAGCCACCTCTACCAACTCAATGAAGCCCCCACATTTACCATCCTTCAAGTCCACGTGTGACCCGATTCTTCTGGTATGTTGGAAGAGAGCCTGGGATACAGAAAGCTGTCACACTGGTCCTGAGGTCTTGTGAAAAGGCGGAAGGACCACTGAGCTGTGTTTAACACTTAAGCCATCTATGGTTGGCAAGGCTAAAAGAGTACACTGTAGCACACGTCCATTTGGGCTCTGGGAGTGATAGGCTCCCACCCCGGGATGCTACCATGGGGTTGCAGCCTAGGGGTGCTTGCTCTGGCTCCTGCACCTGTCTTTCTGCATGCCCCCAATCCCTTAAAAAGGTTTGAGCAGCAGTGGCAACTGAATAGATGAGCCATACCCCTGTTTCATGTCCTGCAAGTGAAGGGTCAGGGAACTCCCCTTTTTCAATTATACTAGGTATGTGAGTTTGTAGCTTTTGCTGATTTGGAAAAAAAATTGGTCTATATTTTATAAAATAAATACTGATTTAAATTAATCAAATCAGTTAATACCTTCCATTTACCAAAGTTAATCATTTTAAGAATCTGCTCTTCTTTTTAGTCTTTAGAATACTTTTGTGGCTGGTTGTGGTGGCTCACACCTGTAATCCCAGCACTTTGGGAGGCTGAGGCAGGTGGATCATGAGGTTAGGAGATCGAGACTGTCCTGGCCAACATGGTGAAACTCTGTGTCTATAAAAATACAAAAAAAATTAGCTGGGCATGGTGGTGTATGCCTGTAGTCCCAGCTACTCGGGAGGCTGAGGCAGGAGAATTGCTTGAACCAGGGAGATGGAAGTTGCAGTGAGCTGAGATTGCACAACTACACTCCAGCCTGGGCAGCAGAGGGAGCTTCTGTCTCAAAAAATAAAGTAAAAAAAAAAAATATTTAAAATTTTTCTTTTCTCTGAAATTTCTTTCTATAGTCCCAAGTGTGAATTTTCCTCTTTGTTTATGCTCAAAGTGACATTTATTTAGTTTTGAGCTTCTCAGACATACAGCGGGTAGATGTGAGTGGAAAGGCATAGTCTTTAATTGGCCATTAACTTGGTAATACTCAAATCCCTTCATATCCCTTTCCAAGTGCTTTCATGCACACGGATCCCATTCCAATTCTCAGTATCCAGAAGGCATTCTTCTAGTAAAACTCTATTATACCAAGGAAGAAAAAGAAATCTTCTTTCTTATTTCCTAATTCTTGCTACCTAATATTTTTAACTCCTTGATTTACGTAACACATGAAACACCACAATTCCCAATGTACACCGTTGCCAAGCTTCCTCTGTGTTGGTTTCCATACACAAATCTGTACATGCGGAGGGTCTACACTTCCCAGAAACCATGTCTTATTGTAGGTTTTTTTCTCTTACTTCTCAGCTACTTTTACAGGAATTATTATCTCCAACTAGATGTTGGAAATTAGTTTTGGCAGAGAATGAGGCAGTGATGTGTCTAACTCCATTTGAGTGATATAATGTTTCTATAGGAAAAATGGGTACATATCTATTAATACTACTGATTTGAAAACTATGTTTCCAGATTTTACATATTCCTTCCTTGAAATTGGAAACCATTATCTAAAACTAATCAGTTGTTGGGTGGGGGAGGGTCTTTAAATTTCCCTGTACTTCCATCCTGCTTATTATCTTGACTTCTGTTTGTTTGAGAAATAAGCTGGAAATGTAATTATCTCAAATAAGGAGACTTAAAGTCTGGAATATAATGCTTAGAAAAATAATTGGCTTTTAATGCTCTTACTTATGATCCCTGAGGTTCTATTTGGATTCAACGAAAATACCAGAGACACTTGGAAAATTGTCTCTTAAAAACTTTAATGATGATTGGCTTGATTCAGAAAAATTATTCACTAACCCCTACCTCATTCTCTATGTTAAATATTGAAATATAAAGTTATCATCTCTTAGTCAAATAACAAACTTGGCCATGTATGCCTGTTTCAGCTGTGGTAGCTTACTTCTGCAGGGTCAAGTAGTTCTAAATGAAATTGAATATACATGGGGGTATCCAGACACCATGGATTATATTTAAATCCTAGTCACTAAAATTTACATGAATTTGAGGCATCATTGATTGAAAATAACATAGTAGAAAGCCTTTCTTCTTCAATATCCTCAAAGTTAATATTTTTGAATCTCATGATACAGGGCTGACTAGTTTCTGAAAAGAAAAAAAAAAGGAATAAACCTGTAATAGTAATTTATCATTCTTGACATTTTTCTTTCAGTTTAATTACTGCTGAGCAGCAGAACTGACATTTAATAAAAGTAAGAAGCATTTAAAAATCCTTGTAGAAAATCCCCACATTACGGGAGAATTGAAAAGCTGTAAGATACACCTGACCACACCCATCATTTTATTTTGTCATTGAATTTCAAAGTACTCCATGTTAAAGCTTTAAAGGTAACGGGACTCCAAAAAGAGTAATGTGCTGATAGCCGGTAGAAACCTGCTTCTGGGAATCCATAATGTCTTTAATTTTTAAAGATTTTTTTTAAATCTTGCTCTCTTTTCTCCTCATTAGAGTGGTATGGAATCTTGTGGCCAAAATTCAGAGGGAAGTTGCACTGTTTCCCAAATGACTCATCTGCTATCAAATATCCTGATAACCAATCTTTTTGTTCTCTTTTTGCCTGATTGTAAGAATGAGCCCAGAGGACAGGCCCCTAGATGAGGGCAGAAAGCATAGCCCAATACAGTGTAGTTTGATGGCTCCAGGAGGTACCTCTGGCCTGTGAATTCTCCCCTCTTACCATTCCTGATGCCCAAAATTCATGTCTTTTGAAAATTAATTTTTTTCAGACTTTCAGAGTTTCCCATTAAAAGGACCTTATTAAAGTATCATTAAGTAGTCTGATAATAAGACCTTTAGGGTATAGAATAGAAATGAAAAGAAAGGAGCTACTCTAGGAAGATGATAAGGTAAGATAAACTCTTATTTTACCCCCTTTATGCAGTGGGCATCTTTCCTGAAATTTTCTCAAACATTTTGTTATGCAATTATTCCAACAATCCTGTGACTTAGGTATATGGAGACTAAAGCTCAGAGAGGTCCAGTGATTTGCCCAAGGTCGCACAGCCAGTTAACAGCAGGTAAGAGTTACCAAAGACAAGCATACGCAAGGTATCTTCCTTCCCAAAGTGCGGTACTAAGGCCAATTTTACACAGTGAATAGTTCTTAAATCACTGCAGTAAATGGCAATAGCAACAATCACCTTTAAAGATTTGGAACATTTAAATATTGTTGAATGAGACAGTAATGATCTGATTTAGTTTTCTCCTGAAAAAAAGTGAAAATCCCATTGAAATAAACCAAAATATTATAGATTAAATACTCTTGGAAAGATAACAAAGCAATATTCTTCAGGTATAAGAAATATAAGCATAATTTACAAACTTAACGCCAGAAATGATTGCATAAAAAACCTTTGAGCTTAGTAACATAGGATGTGGGCTAGATGTGGCAAGAAATCGACACTTTGGAGAAAAATCAATTTCCATTAGCCAAATTTCATGGATTAAA